GGCAGAACCTGGAGAGCTCGCAACAGTCGTCCTCCAGGCCTTGGGGTTCGGCTGTTGGGAAGAAGAAGCTCTTGGAGCGCCCGTCTAAAAAAGAAGAAAAGAGTCAGTATATGCATAAACACAACTCCAAAAAGAGGGTGAAAGGTTCGAAGCCCACCAAGGGTGCCCCCTTGTTGGGGGAGTCGGTTGAAGACTGTTGCATGATGGAGGCCCGCAACATGGCCGCCGCAGTCTTGGAGGCGGTAATTTTGCTCATGGCGTCCGCTGCAAAAACAAATAGCAAAGTTAATAAAAGTCATAACAAGAAATGAATGGAACAACAGAGTATTCGACAGGCCGGCTACCTCTTGAGCACCGACTGCTGAGGCCACAGGCGGCCAAAAAGTACTCGTCGTAGAGCCATTTGAAGCTCGGGACGCAGTGCAGGGGTACTTGCTCTCGTACCCCTGAAGTAGAGTTCACCTTCGACTCTACTTTGAAGAGTCCTTTATCTAGGATCTCTTTATTAGCCTTGGGGGGAACAGGCGACATGCTGCGGCCGCCTGCAAGAAGGGGCGGATTCCTATTCCACCTGTTGAAGCGCTTGTTCAGCTCTGTGTCTGAACTCTCAATGATAAGGAAGGTGCTCCGCCAGTCCTTCCATTTGTTTGCTTTACCTCTTGTCATGAGGTAGCCCCTGTGGCTCGTCAATTGATACCAGCCGGTACCGCCTGCCTTAGGGGTCCGGCTGAGGTAGTTCATGTGGGCGAAAGCCTCAAAGTTCGGCTCCACCGCGTGCAGTTTGCACCCGGCCACATAGCCGAGTACGTTGACCCAGGAGTTCGGGGCTAACTGCCATAACCCCAACTCATACCCATCCAAGATCTGCTGAACAGCCGGATGTAATGGGAAGCGCAGCCCAGCCTTGATGGCCACCTCGTAGCAGCCAAAGCAGGTGCCATCATAACTGGTACCAGCCGACCAGACGACTGTGTCTTCTGGATCCGGCACGAACACTAAAAAGCCGGGGCCCATTGTGTGGTTTGCGATAAAGCTCTCCACTTTCTCTTGCATGGCTGTGATCCGGCCCCGAGGTACCGTGCAGTAGTAGGGGGTATTTTGCTCTCGGTGAGAGGCGGATGGCTTCGCCCAATCGTCCCCCTTCTCAACTGCGTGAGAAAGCCTCGCCTCTTGTAGACGACTGTTTTTCTCTTCTGTGTCCAGAGAAGCATGGCCAGAAGAGCTAGACTCGGAATCGTCCTCTGACGAGTCCGAAGAGGACGACTCCTCCCCTCTCCCGGAGGGGCCCGCCTCCTCTCCTTTAAAAGGAGCAGGAGAGAATGTAGAATTGTCAACTGTAAAATGGGAAGGGGTCACTTTGACTCCTCCCTCAGAAGTGCCGGCTTTCAAGCCGCTTTGTTTCACTTCCACATCTGGCGCCTGGTCAGATGTTTCACTAATCGGCACCCTGTGGGAGGAGCCGTCTGAGTTTGAGATCTTGGCAGTCTTTTTTATTCTGGCCATCATGCTCTGCATAGACACAGATACAGTCGGACTTTGTATAAAGGGCAAAGATGGGTCCAGAAAAGGGCAGGCGACACTCCTAGTCCTAGATTCAGCCGTCCCCGATGACCGGCTGATCACTAACCTAGGTCGTGTCGTGTGCTTCCGTGGTGCCATTTCAAAAAAAGAATAAAGTAAAGAGAAAATTAAGAGTAAGAGAACCGACGGTTACTTGAACGAGTGACGATTGATGAAGTTCTGAAAATCCTTTGCAGTCGGCTTGTCAGAGCAGGCGGTAGGCAGAAAGGGTCCAAAATGTCAGAGCAAGTTCAGGGGTCCGAATGTTCTCTCACAAAGTTTTCAAGTGTGAAAATGACCGAAGTCAACACTCCTTTATATAGGCGAAGTGAGAAGGCGAAGGGTCACTTCCAGAATTCAAAATTTTGGCGGGAGAATCTCTCGGCCTCTCGCCGAGTGACACCTATAGCAGGTCGTCGCCTGTTACAGGGCGATACCTGTCACAGGTAACACGTGACCAGTCACGTGCCACCTGTGAGGGGCAAATGATTAGGGGATTTTTCCCCACCAATCACCATCTGACAAGTGGATCAATCAGGTTCCGCCATGTGTCCGTCACATGGGCCAATAGGAGCCTGCCACGTGTCAAGCAATGATCCGTCCACTATGGACCAATTACGACACGACACGTGTCCCTCCCATGACACCTAGGATAACCGGTCACCTAGGCCCAACTTACGTGGGAAGCCCAATCAGCCCAAGGTTAACCTAAACCTAGATTGACACGTTTCCCGAGGTTATAAATACCTCCCTTAATCCTTATTAAGGGAGATTACGCAGATTACACACATTAAACTCTCTCACCTAGAGAGACCCAATCACTTTAATTTCCGCATTAATTACTCCTTAATCAAGTACTAACTTGACCGTCGGAGGCGGATCTCCAATCATCCGGAGCATCCGTTTGTTTTGCAGGTACAGGCGCCCAGTTCCAGTCTCGGAATTGTAACTCTCCCGCAGGACATCAGAAAACCCCAAAACAGGCGGCATGCCCCTCTAATGATAGAGTCAAATACTCAACGGAGAGTAGCCGACTTTAAAGGTACAGTCAGCGTGCCCCTCTGAAATAGTACAAAGAATTGAACTAATTTCAAGTGTTAGGGCAGATGGATCACTTAGTTCCCTTCCGTGGAGGATGGATGATGTTGGGACGCCTCCTTCTTTGATTGATGACTCTAATTTTTTCGAATGGGGACAGGTGGTCATGTTAAACTTGTTTTTATGCGGTTTGTGACCTTGCTATTTATTTCCATCCAGCCCCACTCTGTCTTTACTCATGCTATTTTAGGAGGTTGTTTTGCCCCAAACACTCGGCCGACCAGGTCAGGGTGCCGCTTGAACTTTAACAATGATGATGATAATTGGAGATCTTAATTGACGCTCAATCTACCCAGGCCAAGCGGACCAGGTGACGCTTGCTCTTATTTGGTTTTCAAGATGAGTAGCACATGTGCTACGTATCCAGACATCTCAAAGCTCAACCTACACATTGGCCGCCGGTCTTTAGCCCCTTAGTGAGTTTGTTGTATGGCCAAATGCTCATGAGTTTATACAAGTAGCCGCTTGGTGAAATTGCTCAATTTCACGGTTAAGTGTGGTTCGCACGAGGGTTAGTGTCATAAATGAGGGTCAGCTGCTTTCATAGCTTCAAGACTTCGTTGTATAGAGGGTCGGCTACTATTCATGCCGCCTCTCTTGCCGGGCTTAATAACCTTAGGCAATATTTTCATCATAATAGTACACTTGTGGCAACAAATATGCATGCGGGCAGCCATCTAGCCCCACTCTCGGTATATTAAGGTGCCCTACGCTAGTTCCGCCATACTTTGGCCGGCTGGTTTTGCTAGGTGTGCCGACTAACATTGCATAGAGGTGGCCAGCTGTTATCATGCCGCCTGTTTTGACATGATTTGCCGGCCATTTATTGGGGTTGAGGTCTCGTGATGCTGTGGCTAGGAACAGGCCGGCTGCCACGAGGCCGGGTGGTAAGGGCTAACTACCGCCTGTTCTTGAGGGGCAGGTTTGGGTGCCTCCTATACGTGACCATGCATTTTTTTTTTTGCATGGTAACCCCACTAATCATAATAATGATTTAATAATTATTTTTATTATTTTTATTTTTTTTTAATTTTTTTTTGCATGGTTACCCCACTTAGCATGATAATTTTGAGCGTCCTATTTGCATGGTGCGCCTTTACTATGCGTATCAATTTGAGCGGCCGTGGGAGAAATAGCCGGCATCCTCTTGCCTTGCATCATAATTTCTGGTATGAGAACATGTATACTCTCAAGCTCCATTTTACTCTGTGGTTGCCGCCTGGTACAGTGTCGGAGAAAGAGCTTTTTGGTGTTGAACGATCTCGGGCACCATTAACAACCAAGGTGGGCAGCTGTAAAGCCGAGAGTTTGAGTTCGGCATTGTACTTGTATGAAGAGATTGGTCAAGGATGGAGGCGCAAGTGCGAATAGGACAACCTTCGTGGCCGGGCTTGTGTACACAGCCGGTTTTACATTGGTCTTGTGGGCTGCTCTTGATGGTCGCTCAATCACTGAGGTAGAGTGCCGCTTGTATTCAAAGTTTAGTTTGATTATGCTAGGCATTATTTAGACCAAAAAATGATCAGAAGACTCGGTCCTCTTGACAAAAGCATAGACCCATAGTAGCTCATGCCCTTTAAACACAATGCCGGTTGTTTTCGGTGAGTTCTTGTGGCTGCCGCCTGCTTTGGGCTTGCATGGTGCCAGTTGTTTCCTCAAATTTTTCATTCCGACGTCTATACATACATACGACCTCTCCCCACATTGCTTGTGCTAGTGCCGGCTGTTTTATTAATCCTAGGGGTGCCGAGTCGGGGAACATGCTCATGTATTCAATGTACTCATAGCCAAATCTTGTTTAGAGTCATCAAGATGCTGCGTGGCTTACTAGTCCGGCTGCCGCCTTCTAGCTTTGAGGAGCATTACCTGGGTGCCGACTGTTCAGCAAAGATGCCCACGCTCCGCCTCGCACTTGCTACTCAATTTTTACTGTTTCAACGATTCAAGATGAGGCGCCTGGCTGATAATAGCCGGCTGATCCCATTGATTGTCATTGGAGCATCATGAATATGAAGCCGCCCCTGCTCTCGCATGAACAAACCAATTCGGTTCGTCCATAGGAGCGATTGAATATCTAGACAGATGATGCTTGTATTTCTAGGCGCTTGTATTTGGTAGCTGCTCTTGATGGCTTAACAGCCAGTGGTACAATGCTTCCCATACATAAATACAGCTGCCTAGCCACGAACTCATTCGTCTTGGCCTTTAGAGTTCCTTGTTTTTGAAGTGATTAATCCGACTGTTTGATGGCTCGGATTGGGCTGTTTTGTCAAACACATTATACTCACCTTTTCAAGTGGTTTAGTGCTAGTTGTTTTAAACTTAACCAGCCAAGCTGTACATTATGTATCCACCACTCTTTGAGCTTGATTTTCACGAAGAAACTCTTTCCTTTTTGGTGAACCCCCCACAAAATTCAAGAGAGGTGCAAGTACATCAACAAATAACCAAGCACAATCTGAATTCTTTTTAGCAAGTGCAACTTGAGTTAATTGAAGTTGGTGAGCAAAGCAGTGGACAAAATAAGCTTCTTTACACTCATTCTCTATAAGAGTCCTAAGGCCATTAATAGAACCTTGCATATTACTTGCCCCATCATAACCCTGACCCCGTACTTGAGAGAAAGACAAAGAATGCTCCATTAATAAGGATTCAATAGCAGTTTTGAGAGTCAAAGAAGCAGTGTTTACAACATGCACAATACCAAGTAAACGCTCACACACTTCTCCCTTTCTATTAACATATCTCAAACAAAGTGCCAATTGTTCCTTGTCAGAAACATCAGCGGACTCATCAGCAAGGATAGAAAATAAACCACCATCAATATCTTCAAGCATTGCTTTAGTGGTCTCTTTTGCACATGCATTTATGATATCTTTTTGGACTTTAGGAGAAGTAAGTTGACAATTACTAGGAGCATTTTTGAAAACAACTTTAGAATATTCAGGATTACCCTTGGAAATAAGGGATAAAAGTGAAAGAAAGTTACCTCTTCTTAAGGAACTTTCTTTTTCATCATGACCACGGAAAGGCAACCCTTGGATTAAAAGCCATTGGATAGATTCAATTGAAGCTTCAAGTCGCGTCCTATATGCATTTGTACTCTCAACGGTTTGTTTTGTTAAGGCTTGTGTGATGCTTGAATTTTGTTTCTTGAACAAATCCATAGCTAAAACAGCATTATTATGTGCACTCAAGTGTTTACCGACATGTTTTCCTTATTAAATCCGATCGATTCCATGATATGAAACCATCACTAACAAAAGCATCACCTCCAAAGGCATTTTCATCCTTGAATAGATAACAAGGGAAACAATAGGCAGCATCCTTTTCCACACTATACTCAAGCCAAGTCCAAGTATCAAACCACTTAGCACAAAAGCGACGATTTTTGCCAAAAATAGAATTTTGAGGAAATGTAAAGTCTTTGGGCTGACAAGGCTTTCTTTGAATGTAAATTCTTCTCACTAAATCTCTATCATCTTTATGAAATTGACTCATTTTTCTCCTCTTTCCTGGATCTTGTGGAAGATTAGCAAATTCATGTTCACTTAATCTTTCTCCAAAGATTGGGGCATTAGGAGAACATTGGCCTTGTTCATTTTGAGGGGAATTTTGAGTTGAATAATGAGATGGAGATGAAAGTTGCTCACTTTCTTGAGGTGGAGTTATAGTTTGTTCATTTTGTGTTGGATGTGGAAGAGAAGTTGGAGTAGGATTCTTTTTAGCAAAGAAGCTAGTAATGTTTTGCATTTCATTTGGAGTATGTTTTCTCTTCATTCTGAAATTTGAATAAATATTGAACTAAATCATGCAATATTCCCCAGAAAAATTATTTGAATAAATATTCAACTAAATGGTCTAAATCAAGCAATTTCACATAATGACATAATCACATAAACATATTACACAAAACACAATTACACAAAACATATTTCACATAAGTAATAACTAATAAGTTCAAGAGATTTCAATTACACAAAACACAATTTTGGAAATTTTTTTGCTATTATAAAATTAAAATTTCACACCTTTAGCCTTTGCAAATAATTTCTCTTAAAGTACATACTTGCACACCAAAACATCATCACTTGCAAATTGCAATGCAAAAAGTACTCTCTAAATTCTAAATGTATATGTTTTCACAAGTACAGTATACTATTTTGCATCAAATTAATAAATATACTTCTCATATGAAGAGTAAATTCAATGGCGGATCCAAAAAATTTGAAATGGGGATTCGAATATAAGATCAAATCGACCAATTACAGAAAATCAAAGTTCAGTACCATAGTTAAATTTACTATTTGAATTACAACCTACAAATTCATTTTCCACATTCTAACATTTCGCAACTCAGCATATTTTTTTAATAACTACCATATATACAATCTATGCTTTACCTATTGATTAAAATTTATAATCATTTGCAAAGTAATAATCATATTTGTAATGTACAGGGTAGTTAGCAAGTAAAACAAACCCAAAAATCATAATTGTGTCACAAAACAATACTCCCCTTAATAAACACCAAGAATCATTAGATTGTATTAAAGCAAAATTAGAGAATAAGATATCAAATCCAAACTATAAAGTATTCTAACCTTTTCCGTGAATATAAATCACAACAATTTAGCCAGTGGAAAATCGAAAATGGCGGCAGCAGTGTGGTCAGAGCGGAGCAGGGGTTACCGACGGCTACGAGACAGGATGAAAAGTTGAGGGGAAAATGTGCACAAAGAGAAGAAGGCTAGGGCTTGAAGTCTCCTCTAACTGATTTTAATTTTTTTTTTTTTTTGTTTTTTTTTTTTAAATAACTTAAAATTTTTTTTTGGGCCTGGTGAGTCACTTGACTCACCAGGTCTAAGCCCAAGTCCGCCACTGTGTACATACGTTGATGCATATGTTGCGGATGCCGCTTGTTTAGACATGGCTGGTTGCTTTGGTGGTAAGGGCCGCCTGTTTGAACATGGCCGTCTTCTTATTGCGGCTGCTGCGAATGGCCGAATGGTCATGTGGTTGTTGAGATAGCCGCTTGTTTTTAATGGTCATTTTCAAGGCTATCACACGCATTTGGTAGTGTGCCTAGCGTCGCTTGTTTTTTACTCGAGAGCCGCCTCCTTGTTATGATCACCCGAGGCTACCTTGGATGATCAGAGCCGGCTGTTTTAAGTGTCATGGCATGCGTAGGTAAGAATAATGCCGGCTGCTATCACCAGAGGTTGGCTTGTGTTGAGCTGCCGAATATATTAATTTTATGCTTGAGAATAAGTAAGAGCTAATATAATAATAGTGAAGCTTGATGATATAATGTTAGTGGGTTGCCGCCTAACATTTTTATCACCTAGTTATGTTTCCTTGCAAATTATAGTGGACCAGCTCACTTAGGCAAAGCAATCCACTTGATAATTTTATTCTGGCACTTATGAGGCATACTCATGGTTATCCGGCCACTAAGTGTCGGCTGCGCTATTGTTAACAACAGCGAGAGTACCGTGGCTTTTATACATAATAACACTGGTATTTTTATCGATTCTCATTGAATGGAGTTGAGAACATGGAACCGGTCATAATGAGCTCGCATGGTGCCGGTTGACTTGCTTAGTATACATTGTCTTACAACACTCGAAAATTGCTCTGTTTTCATGGAGTTGAAAACTTTTCAACTCGAACTCGGCATTTGGCCGTGTATTTTGGAGTTAGCTTGGCACGTAAAATGTCGCTTGTTTACGTGGAGTTGGGAGGCTAGGTTGCCGCCAGTGCTAGCTAGTTGATAGTGGAATTATGGCCGCCTGCTAGCTACGCTCTTGGAGGTGTCAACAAAGAGTAGCAGTAGATCACACGAGAGACGGTTGTCTCCTCTCATGGAGTTGCCTATATCTAGCCGCCTACTACACTAGGCTGGTTGAATGATATATACCAAGTATATTATACAATATATACTTAAGTAAATGTTGCATGCTTCTTTTTCCACTTATTGAGTTTGGAAGATGCGTGGCAAGTACATGCAAATGCCGTATAGCAGTAGCTTCTTTTTTCTTTTTCTTTTTTTTAAAAAAATCATAATCATAATAATGATTTGATAACAATAATAGCCTACAAGCTTGACCATCCGACTCCCGGCATCTGGCCGTATGACGGCTGCAGTTCTTGGCTGCCAGGTCGAATGCTCTGAGGCTGGTCTTCCCGGCTGTGGCCATTGAGTGTCATGCTAGGCGCATGTAACTTTAATTGGGGGTGATTAGACCTGGCCGGCTGTGTGTGATGCCGCCTGTCTAACCATGGGACAAGTACGACCCCATGATATAAGACTTGAGGACTCCTTTATCAGCCAAACGGTCCAACAGCCGTTTAAGGCTATAGCATTCGTTGGTATCGTGGCTAATATCCTCATGGTAGTTGCAGTATTTGTTTTTGTTCCTATTTTTGGCGGAACCCTTCATAGTAGCCGGCTTGTCAATGGAGACCTGGTCCTTAATCTCCATGAGGATGGAGTAATAGTATTTATTAAATTCGTACTTTGGGGAGTACATCTTTGCGTCTCTGTTTTTCTTCTGGGACAACTGTTCTGAGGACTCAGCCACCCATACTTGGTTTCTTTTCTTCTTTATTAGCCGGATGTGTAGGCTGACTCTCTCCGTTGTCAGACCTCTTGGGGTCTGACTGTTTACTAATGTTACAGAGCTCAGTCGCCTGTATATAGGCGTCCGCCTCCATCAGTGCTTCTTGGAGAGTAGCTACCCTTTTCCTGACAAGGTCAAATTTGAAGTTCGACCCGTCCTTCAGACCTCTGAAAATGTCTGTGTAGACTACCTCATCAGACAATCCTTGAATATGAATTTTCATCATATGGAACCGCCTAATGTAGGAGCGTAGCCCCTCCTTCTCCCCTTGCCGGATAGCTCCCAATTCGAGACTTATTTTCTTAGCAGGAATGTTCATGGAGAAATTTGACGCGAACAAGTATGCAAGCGTGTTAAAGTTGTTGATACACCCGGCTGGCAAGTTGCCAAACCATTGCTAGGCGAGGCCCTTCAATGTGGCCGAGAAACACTTACACCATGTGGCATCATCCAACCCTTGGAGGTACATGAGGTTGGTGTATTCCATCAAATGGTCTTCAGGATTGGTAGTGCCGTCATAGGTCCCTACCAATATATTTTTAACATTGGCCGGTTGGGAGGCCTTCGTTATTTCCTTGGAGAAGGCGGATGGTTGTTCTCTAAGTTTGAACAACCAAAGTTGCCAGTCCAAAGGCTGGACATTCCTTGCCGCCTGTCCTCTAAAAGGAGTAGGTTGTATGAAATATTGTGATTGCAGAACGTATGGCTGGGGTGGCACATACGGGGCCGCATGATACTTTTGGAAACCAGAGCGGGAGGGGGTGCCTCCTGTCTGGTTCTCATAGTTTGATTTTGAATACCTCATGGAGGTATTGTGTGGGCAGTCCTGAAAGTCAAACGTGGAGGCCGACTCCGACAGTTGGTGGTTCCTCTTTTTCTCAATTATCATGCGAGCATCAGAGTATGTCTTCTTTGACCCGTCCGGCTGAACAAGGAGGATGGGTTTCCTCTTCCCTGGAGAAGGGAAGCGGTACTTTGCTAGGTCGATCACTGGTGACTGCCTTGCCCTAGATTTTGGATAGGGGGTCGCCTGACGATCTTTCACAGGTTTCGTCCTCCCAGATTGGTGATCGGTGGACAATAGGTCGTTAGTTTACTATCCTAGATCAAAATTACAATTTATATCTTCTATCCTAACTCTATAAATTTTACTTTAGATAGCGGTAAGGTAGGGTCGATTCCCAAGGAAACGGGGGTTTAGCACAATTAATACTAAATCTAGGCTAAATTGCTAGTAACAAAAAAGAGGTATTGAGATTTGTGTTTGAAGAATCCTACGGACAAAGCATCTACTATAGAGCCTAGAATAAACTAAAAGCAATGGGAATAGATTAAACACTATTAAATGCAAGTAAATGGACTAGATTAGAGAGATAACAATGACAAAAGCACTAGGGAGAGGGGGATTCAATCATGAACAAGGAATACTAATGAAAACCGATAAGGAACCAATTCTAGGAGTATAAACTCTACCTAAGATAGTTCACTCTCATTCAACTACTCAAGAAAATCGATGAAATCATTCACACCTAGATTAAATCATT